GCCACCGGGCCGGCCCAAGGGAGTTCTTGAGTTGAGGGTCAGATGGATGGAATGAACATCTACCATGCTGAAGAGGACTCCAGGCCACTAGCCTCTGCCACACAGGGTCTGTGAACCACCCCCGCCTCCACTCATACTACACACCAGTCTGTGTGACTTGATCTGAAAAGTCAAGCTTTGGGTTGGAGGCCTTGTTGAGGGCTGGCTGGAGAGGGACCAGTTGTACCACTCAGGGAAGGCCTAATAGCTCCTCAGTCCTGGGTGGGCTTCGGGCCGGGGCTGCAGGGCCCTGGCTCAGCTCCCCTGTGGGCCGGCCACCAGCACTGCTGGCTCTGAGCCTTGCTGTCGTTGCTACTGAGTTTGATATGTCAGGGTGGCGGCAGCCTGGCCATGGGGCTGGCTCCTCTCGCAGCTCCACTACAAGGCTGAGCAGGAAGGCCGGCCCTGCAGGAGGGCAACAGGGTTGCAGAGCCCGAGGGGACCGTGGGGACTGGAGTCCTAATTTCTATCACTGACTTTCTTGATGGTACCTGGTTTGATTCCACGCAGTTCATTTCACCATATCCAGCATGGCATCTAATCCAGATAGGCCTGGGTTTGAATCCTGCCACTACAGTTTGCTAGTTAGCTGTGTGCCCTTGGCCAAGTCACTTAACCATTCTTGCCTCGTTTTCTCCTCTGTAGAGCAGGGAAAATAGTTCTCACTGTGCAGGGCTGTGATAAAGAGGGAGACCATAAAGAGCACCTGTCACATCAGGAAATGAATGAGTGGGAGCCATTATTGTTATTCTATAGCAGGAGAGAGTGGCTGGTACTCGGACCCTTCTTCCTTCTGGGAGAGCCCCAGACGGCTCCCCTGGGCCACCAGAGTGGGCTCTCTGCAAGGGTGAGTGAGCAGGGGGTGCCATTTCCCAGAGCTGCAACCCTCCCAGGGTGCGCTCGGGCTCCATCTCCACCCGCCCCCAGCTGCCCGCGGGCCATAACTCTGGGCTACGGCGCCCAGGGGAGCCGTGAAAGCCCTGAAAGCCAAGGCTTTTACAAGTCCATCTCCTGCACTCCAGGCTTCAAGGACCTGCCCCGAGGACCTGCGGTGGGATGGGCTGTGACCAAAGCCTGGTCTCTGCCCTCTGCCCTGGAAGAGGGGAGGGCGGTCCACAGAAGGAACTGCAGTGCTTTCCATCGCTGGCCACAGTGCCAGGCAGAGCCATCCCGATGTTGCACAGTGTCTCAGACACTGCAGAATGGGCTTGGCAGCTTCTGCTCCCTCTGCTGGTCCCCTCTGCCTCACTCCACATAAAGGGAGTGCCAAGTCCTGTTGGGTCTCCCAGTGACACCTGCCCCTGCTCTGACCCCTCCCTCTGGTTATTCCCCTGCAATTACCAGAAGGCCCTGACAAAAGCCCTTCCATGCGCCTTATCTCTTCTTGGATGAACGCTCCAGCTCGGCCTGGCATTCAAGGCCTCTAGTGAGTGGCCCCACCTGGCCCCTTCCTCTTCCAGACACCAGACTTCTGTTCCCAGACAGGCCTCGCCTGGCACACTGCTGTTCCTCTGCTTGCACTGCTGTCTTGCCATCTCCATCTGACACTCCTGTTGTTTTTAAATGGTTTAACAACTGACTTTAAGTCAGGAAAACAATCCAAAGTTCCTGCTCACATTTTCCGGAAGCGGGTCAATTTTGTAGCTCAGTGTTGAAACTACCCCATGAAACTTGCTCTCCTCTCCCACATGGCATAAACAGAAGAGCTGACTCTGCAATACAGTATGTATTCTTTAAGATCCCCCTTTAGTTTTCTCTGCTGTGAGAGCTTCAGATGTCCCAAGCAGGTAAGTAGCTTCCTCTGTCTGTGGCACCCCTTACACTGTGGCTGTTGTGGACTCTGCGTGCAGAGAGGCAGAGACCCCCAGTTCTCTCTCTCCTGCCTTTACCTACTCGTGGTAGTTCTAACATGACATGGAGGCAACAGGATTCACCTCACAATTTGTCAATACCCCCAAGAAACCAGCTTTTAAAAGTGGAGTGCTTATAAAACAAAACGAAAAGTAGAACTCTTCTGTAGACCCATTTTCTAGAGGGGGAAACTGAGGTAAAAAGCAGGAGCCACTTGCCCCGCATCTTCCCCCATGGCTTTCCTCCCCGTCTCGTGGTTCTCTGGAATAGACGTGGCAGCCGCGCACTCATAGCAGCTGGGGCTTGCAGCGCTTCTCTGGCACAGGCTCATTTATTTACCTGCTGTGGCAGCCACTAGCCCTAGAGCTGGGACGACGGGAGCCTGGTAGAGTTGGCCCAGTCACAGCTCAGCAAGCTGGGCCTAGCTGAGGAGGGGGCTGTTTCTAGTCCAGTGATGGAGACCACTAATTACTGACCCACTGGTTCCCATCCTACAGATTACAAATCATGTCATGGCCTCCAGCCCATCAAGTAGCAGAAGCCAAGAGTGATCACTTTGCTTCCAAAAGCTCCAAACCCCGGGACTCCTAGGCCTAGCACAGTGCCAGGTTTAGACTCCGGTTTCAGGTACTGTAATCAGTGTTAGGCCTCAGGAAGCTCCTTCAACCTCTCTGAGTCTCAGGTGCTGCATCTGTAGAATAGGGCTAGTGATACCTGCCTCACATGGTTGTTAGAAGGATTAAAAGGGCCCTTGTGTGTACAGGCCTCAGTAACGGAAGCTGTAACTATGCTGCTGGTGACCCAGGATGCCTCAGGACAGCTGCCCTTGGCCTTTAGAAGTTCATCCCCTTGGCAGGTCTTCTGATTACACCCCAAGATCTGCTCTGTTGGGTACTGTCACCTCTAACATCTTTCTTGACAACTGCTGAGCTCCCATGAACCAGGAGGGTGCTCTTTGCCTACATGTGTAATTTCCCTCCCTTCTTCCAATTCAGCCAGCTTTCCCGAGTGGCTCTGTGTCCAGGCCCATGGCCTTGGGCAGGGTCCTGGGGTTCTAATGGGACTCAGGCCTGATCTCTGCTCTGGGGGACAGGAGGAAAGCAGGCAGGGAAGCAGGTACTGACCAAGCCACAGGACTGCTGCACTGTCAGCGTGAGTCCAAGGGGCCATCGGAGCCTGGAGGACACCTGTCCTACTCGTGACAGCAGGCAGAACATGCACACAATGACAGTAACCCCGGAAAAGATGGAGGGGAGAATGACCTGGTTGTAAAGGAAGCGCAGGAGGTGGCCAGAGGGGCTATGGGCCCTGCTCGAGTTCTTTCAAGGCAATGGGAGCCCTTAAAAAAAATAAAGCCTTTCCCCCTCACCTCCACTCCTCCTTCTCTTGCATATAAAAGAAAACATGGTGGTCATAAACACAAACCCCATGAAGGCTTTTAAGCTAAAAGAGGGCTAAAACAGAGGCTGTGCCAGGAGGTGGCCACTGCAGCCCAGCATGGCTGCGATGGGGGCTGGAGACAGGCGTTTGGAGGGCAGGATGGCCAGGACTCGTGACTGTTTATGGGGAAGAGGAGGGAGCTGCAGTGCCACGCATGTTCATCACCAAGGGGATGGCGGTGCCCCAGGAGGCTCCCAGGAAGAACAGGCTGTAGGCAAGATGCTGAGCTCAGCTTTGGACCTGCTGAGTTTGGGGTCCCTGAGGGATGGAGCTCTGGGTCAGGGGAGATGAGGGAGGGAAGGGACTTATCCAGACACACAGTCAAGGGGCGCTCCTTCCACTAGTAAAGGCCTAAGGGCTGCCAGTGAGGGACTGGGGCTGCCAGTGTGTTTGTGTCAGGCAACCCAGACCCGAGTGAGCTGCTCTGGACACCTCATGTGGGCCAGCAACCAAAGGAAAACCTCTGCCAGTGGACATCTCAGTGTAGCTGGTTTTTATTATTAAAGCCAAGGTTGGAAAATGGCTGTCCCCTGCCCCCCACTACCCTCCCACCCACCTCCAGATCCATCCCTTTAAGTGCTGTGAAGGTGAAAATTAGATTTGTCTTGAAAAGACTCAGCAACGCTCATGCCGAAATGAGAGAATGAGGACAAATGAAAGAGGTTCAAATGTGGTCTCTGTGATTGTGTCGGCTCCACCCAGGATTCCTGGAAAAGACGGCTTGGGCTAGATTTGTCTTGAAAAGACTCAGCAACGCTCATGCCGAAATGAGAGAATGAGGACAAATGAAAGAGGCTCAAATGTGGTCTCTGTGATTGTGTCGGCTCCACCCAGGATTCCTGGAAAAGACGGCTTGGGGTGGGGCTGGACAGCCCCTGCTCACAGTGCGGTTCCCGAGGGTTCAGGGCGGCGTCAGGAACGAAGGCAACGGAAGAGGCTGAGCTGGCCCCGCACTCTACCCTGCTGAAGCTGGGCCACAGGCTGGTTTTTGTAAAAATGGTTTAAAAAAACCCAGCCCCAAGCACCACCCTCCCCTGAGCAGGGCAAGAGGAGGCGCCAGCTGTGTACTTTGAGGTCTGAGGCGTGTGGCCTCCTGGCCTGGCATCACCTCCCTAAGGGCAGGCAGCAGCACCCTGAGGGAGACCAAGTGGGCTCCTGGGCCCACACGTGGCCCTTGGCGGCCTCCCGGGTCCCAGGAGAGCTTTGAGATGGCTGTCTCCCCTCCTCCCACCCAGCCCACCTCTGGGAGGCCCTAGGCCTCAGGGACTCTGTGCAACTTTGGCTCTTTGGATTCCAAAGATCTGAACTTCTCCTCCAGCATGGGTGCCGCAGGCTGGAAGTGGATGACAGGCCTGATCTGAAAGACAGTGAGGCCCTCCTGGTTCTTCTGGTTGAACAGACTTACCCTGTGTTCCAGCTCGGGGCTGGTTTGGGCTGAGCCCGCTGGGCTGGGCTGGGCGAGGGGGGCTGGGTCCAAGGCCCTCTGGGATGGGCAGGGGTCCTCTGACAGGGAGGACAGCAAGTCCTGGACCTTGGCCTCCGCCACCTGCTGCTGGGGCAGTGGTGGCAGTGGCAAGGGAGAGGGGCTGAGCTCAGAGCATGGCTCCTCATGGGCGGTGCTGCAGTCCGTGGAGGAGCCCAGCGTCTGGCTGCTGTCACTTTGGGCCCGGGTGACAGAGCTGCGGGTGGAACGGGAGGCACTCTCTGAGGTGGCACTGGCACAGGTGCCATTGCCACTGAGCTTCAGGGGCATGTCAACCGAGAAGAGGTCTGAGGAGATGTTGGGCTGGTGGATGTCTATGGCAGCCGTGGTGACCACGCACACTGGTTCTGGGACACCGCTGTCTGCAAGAAAAAAGGAGATGCCAGTCACACTTCATCCTCTGCCACCCCACAGTGGATCCTGATGAGGCACTTCTGGGCAGAAGCTTTATGAACCAACAGGTGCTTTGTGCTGGCAACCAACAATGTTCTAGAATAGATGATGGCTGCTCTGTCTGCTGGGTGCTGGAGTCACGACCAAGACTCAGGTTTACCTGCCACGGAGGCATATTCCATCCTGACTAACAGAAAGCACGCTGTGCCAGGACAAGGAACTTGGGTTTCACAGTCTGAGGAGTCATTCCAAGTTTGAAATGGGCTGGCGTGGGGGCCGGGGAGTGGCATGGCCAGAGCCCATCCTTCAGAAGATAGATTAACCTCTCAGGATGCATCGTGGGGAGACAGGCCCCTCAGAAGCTCTTTACTCAGCAAGGGGCTGAGTTGCAGTGGTACAGTGTGGGGAGGTTTCTACCCAACATTGTGGGGGTAGTGGGCTGGGACAGAGGCCTGGGCTGGAGAGGGTGGTCTTTGAAACCAGCAGACTGGATGAGGCATGGAAAGGGGGCTAAATTGTGGAAAGACAAAATTCAAATACAATAGAGCATATGAGGACATAAGGGTCCTGAAATCCAAACTCAAGGATAAGACATGGATAGAAACAAGACACTGAAGGGCTGGGAATTATTTTAAAACTCAATGCTTCCCATAAGGAGAAACCAATGGGCTTCCCTGAGACATTTCCAAGTGCAAGAACAAAATGTCAGTCAAGCAAAGTCATGCCCAAGGCCTGCTGCTTCTCAGGCCCAGGGGTGCTGTTCTAATACCCTCCATCGAGCTCGCCCCGGGAGGGTCTCAGGCTGGGGTGCTGAGGTCACTTTGAGCTCTGGGCTCCAGCCCCCTTTCCATTTCAGGGTTCCACACGCAGTTCTTATTGGGGATCACACAGCATCCCCCCCAGCATCGCAGGCTCTGCTCTTGGGCACCCCCCGCTCCAGCACTGGAATTGGCTGGCAGCTGGAGCTCTAGGTTTCTTAACCTTGAGCTCGGGTTCACAGGCACCAGGGGATGGGCATGCCTTGATCTCTGACACCAAGCTGAGTTGTCCTCACCCTCGGGTTTAGGGGCTGCCAGAGTCGCATGGGGTGAGGGGATGCCCAGAGTTTCTGGTATGTTCGGAATAGGCCCAACCCAGACTCACCACTGCTGGGCCCGTTGTAGTACTGACTGATGTAGCTGTTCATGTCGTCTTTGACCGCAGCTTCTATAGAGGTGGAGACAGAGGAGAGTGAGTGTGATGCCTTGTCCAAGGGTCCAGGAGGCAGGGACTGCACCAGTTAATGCTCTACCCCCAACACTCCCACCCCTGCCCCACAGCCATGAGAAGCCTGTGTGACAGGAGCCACCTCCTGGTTCTCCATGGGGGCATGGAGCTAGACTGCACTGGGTACCAGGGGACCCAGGTTCTGACCCGAACTGGACGGGACACTTTCCTTCTCTGTCCTTGGTTTCCCCATCTCTGAGATAAGGGGTGTAGAAATAGCTTCTCAGGCCTTTCTCTGTCTGGATGGCCCGAGTCTCTGAATCTGCCTGAGGTTCACAGGGTAACTAGAAATGCTGCTGTCAGCACAGAAGCCTTGAAATCCCACACAGCCAGCGGCAGCAGTGACGCATCCTGGATGGAGCCCCCTGCCTGGTCCATCTGCAGGCTCCAGTCTTCCACACAGTCCAGGAACGGAGCTGGAGACGGGGGGTGGGGTGAGGGTGGGGAGTGGTGGTGCTGGGGATCCCCGGCGCCTGCACAGTCCTGCACACGGGAGGTGCTCAGTGAATAGTTACTGAACGAATAACAAACAAGAAGGTGAAAAGCTGTCCAGGTCAAGGAGATGACACAGAACAGGGTCTTAAAGAAATACTGGCTCATCGTCCAGGGAGGATTGGGAAGGAAATGAGAGAAGAGGGGAGATCTTCAGAGTGGGCCAAGAGTGGAGGAAAAGCAGGTGACAGAAGACCGCAAATGCTGTCCTAAGGAGCTTGGCCTTGTCCTAAGGGCAGTGAGGATCCCCAGGAAGGTGCGAACATGGTCAGGTGTGATTTGGAGCGGTCACTCCCAAGGATGCGGGGAGAGTGGTTTGGAAGGGCCCAGACTTCAGGCAGGGAGACCAGAGACTGCAGTGCCCAAGTGGGGGATGGGGGGGGGCTGATGGGACAGAGGGAGGGATCAGGTCAAGTGATAATTAGGAGGGGCCTGGCACAGCTTGGAGAGTGACAGTGACAGTCTGGCAACATGTCAGACAGCTGCAGGGTTGCTCCTTCAGCCCACCAGGCCCTGGGGTCGAGGAAGAGTAGCGGAATCTGACCTGATTTCAAACCTCGACTCCACTGTGTGTTTAGCTGAGGGGCCCTCTCTGAGCCTCTGTTCCCTTGTCTGTAAACTGGGGCTGACGACACCTACTCTCCAGTTGTTATGGAGATTAAAGGAGCTAGTGAGTGTCAGATTCCTAGAGTGGGGGCAGACACATAGAAGGCTTTCCACACTCGAGGGCCGTCCTTCCTCTCCCGGGAAAGTCCGGGCAGGTGCTCCAGGGCTGGGGGCTTCTCCGAGGAGCCACGGTCTGCAGGCACACCTGAGACGGCTGCAGAAGCCAATGTGCCCTGACACCGGAGGCTGCGTGGCAGAGGCCTGGCTCTTAAAAGCTTTTTTGGCCTCTTTTGATCTTAAATGCCTGCGGTCAGAGGTGTGTTCTGTGTTAATGCTGTAGCTGAAGGAGGGGCCCCAGGCTGGCTCCAGGCCCTGCTCCGGGATCAGCCAGCAGCACGTTCATCATGTATGCTGAAACGCTGCCCAGCCCTGCAGGCTGCCCTAGCAAGTGGAAGGTGGATGCTCCCAGCAGGCAGTAGAAGCGCAGGACCACCAGGCTCACAGGGCCAGCCAGGAGGACCTGGTCACTTGTCTTGGTTTTATCCTGAGGCCATACTTGCAGATACTCAAGAGAGCCACTCGAGTGGGCCAGGACCAGGAGCTCAGTTAAAGTATCCACAGACCCATGACACTTTATCCCAAGACAGCCACTTGCAGGAGGGGGCTGGGGTGAATGAGAAAAGCTCAGATCCGGGGTTCTTGTCCTAGTGCTGTTAGCAGGCCACATCCCCTCTCTGGGCCTCACTGTCTTCGTCTGTACCACATGGGTGCTGGCGAGGCTCTTAGAGTTTGTGCTATGGCTGCACTAGACGGCTCTGAAGTTCTAAGAGGTGACAGTCACAGCAGAGTGGGAAGAGACCAGGCATCTGGACCATCCCCCTAGTACCTAGTGCAGGAATCATCTCCCTGCCTGCCTGATGGGGGCTTTTTCCCCACGGGCCAGCGCACCTCTGGGGAAGGGAGCTCCCACCTCTTTGCTGAGGAGCTCTGATAATCAGCTGCTGGGCAGCTTCTCATTCATTTGTGCTCAACTGAGTCACAGTGTGCCTAATCCTCTGCCTTCTATCAAGGCCAGGACTCCCCGCCTCCAGGGAGCACAGGCAGGGGCTTTGCAGATGTCCACACCGTGGCCAGGCAGCCAATCTCCACTTCATCAGGGAATGCAAGGCATATGTGCAGGGCCTGCCGGGCCTGGGCCTGCCTCCCACCCAGGTGCCAAGAATGAGCCTACTGCCACTTAGCTTGTGTGACAGACCTTCCAACACTCAAAAAACCCTCACATTCCTCCTGAGAAGTCTCTTCTCCTGGAAAGCCTGTCCCTTCTCCACCCCTCCCTGGTTTTCCAGCCTTTCCACACTGAAGGCTTCACTCTGGACTCCAGCTGTGACCAGGAAGGGAGAAGAAGCGGGAGGGAGGGAGCTAGTATTTCCCATCTGCCTATCAAAGCTCCTGAGCCGTGGCACCTTGCACGCTGCCCTCCTTTAACCCCCACCACTGCCCTGCGAGGCCGTGACTATTTAATAGACCAGCCCTTCCAAGATCCGGCGTGACCGTTCCCCTAACGCAGCCGAACATCCTCCAAGTGCGTTTAGCAACCGCCCTGCTCTGCTGACTCACACCACGCTTGTGGCTGGCGTGGATTCCCAGCTTTCTCTGCAGGAGCTGGGGACAGGCCAGGCCTTCGCCACCCTGTACTTGTGCAGCCCTTTGCAGGGCTTCATGGTCATCACGCTGGGCAAATGTCAGTGCAGTGGTTTCAGCCCAGGGGCACAGCCCGTGGAAACCTTCTGAGTCTTGGTTCAGTTTACCAAGGAATTAGACCTCTCTCCTATCTCACTGTTGACGACATATTGGAGGATGCTCACATCTTCATCCCAGCTGCTGATAAAAATATCCTAAGCCAGGTGACCTTCAGCCCAGACAGCTCTTCTGAGCTTCTGACTGGTCTGGCCAACTGTCCCCGGACACCTTTTCCTGGATGACCTCCAGTTACCTCTGATTCAACGTGTCTAAAATAGAACCAGTCTCTCCCTCCTCCTCCCATGTCCTCCAGCTTGGTGACTGGTTCTCCTGCCCACCCAGGCTGAGATCCTGGCCACTTCTCGGTGCCTCTATCTTTCCTTACCAATGGCCCGACTACCACCAAGGCTGTGCCCAGTCAAGGTCCCCTGACCCCTCTGTAATGGCCCTGCGTTGGACATCATGGCCTCTCCTTGGGACTTTCATCCTGCCTGCGGGTTTAATGAATGGGATCGCTGACTCCCTGGATGTGCCTGACACGGAGCCTTAGTCCCCAGGTGGCCGCTGGAGGTCTGTCCTGTCTGCATTTGCTCCTCTGCCCCACTCCCTCTGCTCCAGACTTGTACCTCCACAGGGTCCTCAGTGTGAGCTCTAAGGCACAAGTCTGAATGTGGCGCCAGCCCGGCCTTCCCCGGCAGTGCTGACCCTGGCCCGCCTGCTCTCTGCTTCACAGAGACTATGAGCCTCTTCTCCCAGAACTAACCACCGGGCTGGGATCTGGCCCCATCCACACAGTGGCTCTAGAGCCTTTGGGGGCCAGGGCCACATTTTGGTCACTGAGTCTCCCCAGTGCTTATCGCAGGGCTTGGCATATGCCAGGTGCCATTATGGTGGACTGGACAGAAGACTGTGGCTGGGTCAGAGGCCTGCAGGACCTCCCAGCACGACCCCCTCCTGGGAGCCACAGGGCCACTATGTGGTGCTCTGCACCGTATAGCACCAGCCTCACCCACTCCTGGGAACTTCCTACTGAGACTAGTGACAGCTGGGTATGTGGAGCTTGGGGGCAGGAGGAGAGGCAGGCACAGATGCTTGTGGCTGGAAACCAGCTGCACAGTCAGATGCACACGGGGCTGCCCACCTTCCACCTAAGAATAATCCCTCGCTCCCTGTCTGTTTTGATTCAGCACTGAGGAATCCTAGGGACATGTAGGAAGTAGCCCGCAGCGGGGCTGAGCTGTGCAGACCATGAAGGAGCAGGAAAGAAGAACAGGTACAAACACAGGCTTCAGAGCAAAACAGACCCAGGTGCCAACCCCAGCTCTGCAGGGCATTTGCTGTGTGGTCTCAAGCAAATGCCTTAGCCACTCTGAGCCTCAGCTTCCTCACCCATAAAATGGGGATAATAAGTACCTACTTTGCGGTTAGCTCTAAGATTCACTGAGATAATGAACATCTAGCCTAGGGCCATCCCTCACCTTGCTGAACCCTGCTGGCCCCAAAGTCTCAGGTGGTTTCCACGGCAGCTGCTCTCTGCTGCTCGGTGCCTTTCTTCCCAGGGTGTGAGTGCTTTGCAAACTCAACCTGACTAATCCTCCTAAAGCCCGTCGAGTGCAGCAGCGGTGGCAATGCTCATTATGTCGGTTTAGCCCTTGGGCGGAGCCCCTGACCTGCCCAATGAGGCAGCGGTGGAGAGAAAGGGGGTGGGTCAGACGGTCCGGGCCTCCTGGAGGTGGCGGGGCCTGACCAAACTGCACGGCTCCATGTGGGTGGGGATGCCGGACCACATGCCCTGTGTGGACTCAGGCCGCAGGGCCAGGGGGAGGCCGATTCCTGATTTGGGGCTCCTGCTGCCAAACTCCAACATGCTGCTCCATGCTTGGCAGCTCTCACTGAAGGAGGACACTATATTCATTGAGCACCTACTGTATACCAGGGACGAGAGCTGAGCATACATCTGAATGCATAATCCTCGGTGAAAAACTTATACTATTTGCTTTTTGGAAACACTGGGGCTCAGAGGAAGAGCCAGCTACACAGTTGATAGCCCCCTTTTTGTTCAAAAAGTATTAAGAATTTCGATAGAGTGACAGCAGAACATT